TAGTGTTTGTGCTCCCAATCACCCGATGTTTGCCAAACCAATAACACATTCATTACGCCATTAATCAGATACACAGCCATTGATTTGAATTACAAATGAAAGACAAATGCCTTCAGGAGAGAGAGAGAGAGAGAGAGAAGAGTGCTGTAAAAAGTGTCGATTTTTTAATGTCATTCATATGGCGATGGGATGGGAGGGCCTGTCGTCGTCCTCTCCTCTCCTCTCTCTCTCTCTCTCTCCTCGCTCTCCAACTTTTGGCCATTAATTAGATTGCTTTCAATTGGCACTGATTTGAGGAACAATAGGCGAGAAGTCAATTAATTTGTTGACTTAATATGAATATCAGTGATCACTGATTGGATCTCATCCGCACTTCTGTGTCACCCAAAGTCTGCTTCGTCTCAGCAGCCAATGAGAGGCGGAGGGCGGGACTCTTTTGGGAGCTTTAATCACATTAGTGGACGACAGTATAAAAGGCATCTTCGCTCGTCTCGCGCTTACAATACAACCACATCTCTAATGCAATAAAGCCTTCAATTTTCGCAATCAATTAGTCTGTGATCTCGAGTCTCGCGACCAAACAATGGAACAGTTGACGCAATTCGTGTCCAAATCCTTCCAACAAAATCCGCGCGAAATTCGACTTTCAAACTCAAACGCCTCCCCAACGCCTCCCACGCCCCCCTCACACCCGTCGCTGCCTCCGCCGCCGATCTTCCGCTGCCCCGCGCGCTCGGCCCTCCACTCCGTCGTCGACCGCCTCAACGGAGTGTTTGTGCCGCAGTGGCCGCTCTTCCGGCCTTCCGTTCCGCCGCCGCCTCTCGCGGCCGACGACCGACTGTCGCCTCAATTGCGCAGCGATTCCGTGACGTCGGAAGCGGGGGAGACGGCCGACGACACGGCGGACGACACGGACAACAGCGCCGGTAAGCGATTAAACGCAACTCTCGTTCGACACGTCCGGCGCTCGTTTGGCGTTCGCTCGTCACGCGCGCGCTCCGGACGTGACTCTCTCTCGGAAATTGAACTCATTTTTCACGCGCTTTCAGGAGAAACCAAACTCGAGCCTCAGATGTCGAGCGGCGCACAACTCGAGCCCAAAAGCGAGTCGCGAGTCGCGGAGGACTCGGGCGGCGGCGGCAAAGGCGTGAAGCAGCGGCGCTCGCGGACCAACTTCACGCTGGATCAGCTGAACGAGTTGGAGCGCCTCTTCGACGAGACCCACTATCCCGACGCCTTTATGCGCGAAGAGCTGTCGCAACGCTTGGGTCTGTCGGAGGCACGGGTTCAGGTGAGCGCGTGATCGCATTATCCGAAGATTTGCATAATCGTCGCCAACAATGGCTTTATGAGCGCTTTTAAGCCCAACTTTTATTTGCGGAGTGAATGGAAAGCAATTACTTAGCAGTGAATTAATTAGACGTCTCTTCCCTTCAACTATAGGTCTGGTTTCAGAACAGAAGAGCCAAATGCAGAAAAGTAAGTCTCAAAGCATTCACTTCTCTTCTAACGCTCTCTTTCTCTCTCAGCACGAAAGTCAGATCCAAAAGAGTGAGCCCTTCTTCATCCCCTCTCGCGAAACCCCCACTAATCCAATTACCGCCACAGACCTAATCATGGCCGCCACCACTCCCATCGAGTCGTCCCGCATCGCGCCCTACATCTCCGTCACGTCGTCGCCCACGCCGCGCATCGCACCGCCGCCGCCGCCGCACCCGCACGTCGACCGCCTGTCCGCGCTGTCGGCCGCGCACTACCTGCCCTGCCTGTCCGCCACGTCGGCCGAACTGCTGCAGCACTACGCGGCCGCCGTCGCCGCCTCGCAACAGCCCTTCCTGGCGATGGGCGCACACGCCTACCCGGCCTTCAGTCTGTCGGCGCTGTTGGCCAGCGAGCGCCTGAACTCGAAGAACTCGTCGATCGCGGACTTGAGGTAAGCGAAAAGTATTAGTGCAGTAATAGTGGTAACGATGCGTCGCTTCTGTCCTCAGACTCAAGGCTCAGAAGCATTCGGCGGCTCTCGGCTTATGACTTATGAATGAGTTTTGTTCCTATTCTTAGACTTAGTTTTTGTAGAAATCATTAGAAATCGAATTATTAAAGAGAATTCAAAAATCAATTTTGGCTTTCATTGCGATTTCACACATCATTTACGGCGTCTTTTAATTTGTCTAATGGTCTGCTTCTGCCGCCGATTATCGCTTATTGTCTCCGCTTTGGTCCAAACAAAGTCAATAAGTGTAATTAGATTGGGGACGGGAGGGAAGGGAGGCAGAGAGCGCGCGAGCGAGCAATGAATCAGCGTTTGGTTTATTTGGAGAAATGGTTTATTTCTGGAATAAATATATTATACACCGAATAATGGATAACAAAAAGCGCTAAAACTCTCTCAACTACTGAACTACTGGTCCTTTTTGATGCGCTGTGACGTCATGCGGTAGATGATGGAGTCCTTGCCGGGGTCCACGTGCCACATGGCCACTGCCACGCCGTAGACCACGACCGCCAACACCACAGACGTGAAGGCCGTCACCGCGAAGGCCGAGTGGAAGTTGGGGTCGAACTGGTGCGCCAGATTCAGCGCCGCCGCCTATATATATAATAACAGTGAATGCATTAGTGGCGCGTCTCTGAGGACTCATTTGTCTTCGCGTGTCACTCAATAGATCCCGTTTGGATTGAGACAAAGCGTTTGGAAAGCAATTCAATTAGTTGTCGACGAGTGTTAATGCAAAACACTTCTTAAGAAGGTTTTGGTGTCAAAACAACTCACAGATATGATCAGTGATGCGAATCTGATCCCTGACACCATAACAATCACTCAATTGACGCGAAATGCATTACTCATGCCTTGAGTGCACTCTCAGCGCATCCCTAATAGTCCGCAATCCGTCTATGCTTTTGATGGATAACATAAGTGTCTGAAACCAGTCGTCCATCAAAACGTCATCTCGCAAAGCACTCTCAACCCCTCTCACCCCTCCGCACCTCCACTCCTAGCCCTTCCCTATGTATTCACTGTAAGTATGTATCTCTCCCTCGCCTTCACAGCAGCGAAGGCCTCCCTGTGCCTCAAACACAGCTTTCGGTAAATTCCCGAAACTTGCAGTAAATTACAGACAATTTGTTGATTGACTGCAAGAATAGGCAAACATCGCATTCATCGCTCTCTTTCTCTCTCCAAAGCTTTGCGATAATCAGTGAATCATTGACTCTATATATCTATCTATCGTTACATAACTCTACGCAATGCTTACAGACCGCCATCTGTCGGCTCATAAACGCAACTAAGAGTCGATTTCTCGCAGACCACATCCGCAAACACCCGACCCCTCCACCCCTCCCGCACCCTCTCATCCAAACGTGTGATGCACTCAAAGACCAAACAAACAAACCTTTGTGTCGCGCGTTTTGCGGACCAATTTCGGCGATTCTTGCGGTCGTTCTTCGATGACTGCGACCAACACTTTGTGGTCGTAAAGAGTGTCCAACTCTTGAGTCAACTGACGGACGAATACAGCATATGATTAGACACTCGACTCAACGGCAACAACAAGGGCTCACCTTTTGGATCAGTTGTGCGACCAAATTGGTGACGAGTGTTCGCACGGATTCCTCGTACTTGTCGTCACTTAATATGCGGTCAAAGGCTCTCATTTCGAGCCAAAAAAGGCCGCGAAGTGACCGCAAGTCGGCGTTCGTTGTCTTCAACTGCGAGACAAGAATGCGTTGAATGAATGGACGCAAAGACAGAGTTTGAATACAAACCGAATCCAGGATTTGGTAAACGGTTTCCAATTCCAAGACAAACGCCTTTATGTTTGCATCGCTTTTGTCGCCAATTGTCACCAATTCTTGCAGTCCTTTGCGATTGAATGCATCGGAAAGTCGGCGTTCGGGCGTCGAGTCCACCAACAGGTTTGTGTCCAACAAATTGGCGTCCTTTGGGGTGAGAAGGCATTAATTGGTCGCCGAAGCGATCGGTGGCCAACACTGACCTCCATTCGGACGAACAGCCGTTCGTTGGCTTCGAAGCGCTGTTCCGTTCGCTGCCACAGAAGGCGGCGCTCGCGCTCCGAGTCGAGCGGACCGTCGATGGGGACGCGCGCGACGGTCGGCGGCAGCGGAATGTCGTGTCGACCGACGAGTCTGAGCGTCACAGCCGTCGTCGGCAGCGAAAAGACGTCAGTAATGGCTGAGAGTCCGCGCCATTGGAAGGCCTGAAAGAGAGATGCGGTTAACGCCCACTAAAAGCCAAAAACGCTCTCTTTTCGCACAAACCGTCGGTAAAGAGTATCCGAGAGTCAGAGACACGAAGTCCGCGATCGAAGAGCCGTCGATGGGATGCGTTTCGTCCGACAGACGTAGCGAAGGAGGCGCCGCCACCACAGAGAGGGTCGAGCCCTGAGTGGAGGCGTCGATGCATTGGACGACGAGAAGACACGTCAGAAGAGGAAAGAGGTCTGCAATGAGAGGACATATAGTGAGTGAGGAGAGAGTGAGTGGAAGAGCGCCGAAACGGACAGCTTTTGGCCATTTGTGGGACGAATCAGAAGAAGCGCACGAATCGGACGAACAGAACAGTAAACAGAGACACAAATGACGTCCGTTTGACTCACAGAAGCCGTCAATGAATTACAGTTAGGAAAGAAAGTTCTGCTAAAATATCATATGATTTCAATCATTGGATCCGTTATTGCATAACATTTTCTGTTTTATTTAAACAAACTTAAAATTATGAGACTTTCAAATGTTTATAAATATGAATTAAAATCTATTAAATATATTCAGATTATCTCTAAAACAATACAAATTAGTAAATCCATTGAGACATTGATTCATTGATTGACACTTCAGTTCTGTATGGATAGCTTGGTCTCCATCTATACAATCGTAACCCAATCGGCCCTTCAGTCTTATGACACATAGACATAGCAGTAGCCCCTCTTCTGGCTGTCCCTCTGGACGGCCTCGAAGTCCGTCAAACAGATGCGATTGTCATCGCAAGAGAACCAGCGATCGGTTTGGCTGTTATACACAAAACTCGTGTAATGGCCGGCAGACAGACTGCACCCGTGGTGACAGATGACGGCCACCAATTGATAGGCTATCGCGTCGTCAGTCACGTCCTCTACTTCTGTCGGGTCTTTGTTTTCGATGCTCTGCTGCTCATCAAAGCTCTCGTCGAAAGAGATTCTTCGGACGACTTTTGACACATTATTGCAAACGTCTTGCAGTCTGAAAGCAAAGCAATCACTGAGTAATCAAACCATTGGTCACGTGTTGTGCACTTACTTAGGCCTGTCCTCCGAGTCCACAGATGACGGCCCACTCACGACGTGTCGCGTCGAGAGACGTAGGCTTCTGGGAATCAAAACAGTGTCGACGCGTTTGTTGCCGTTAGCCGTATACCTCCCGAGTTGAAGGAAAAGCACTTTCGGGCGCTTTACAAACGATTTGCGCAAAACGTTTTCGTTGGCCTTACAGTTGTCGGCAACGCATTGATGGCCAGTCGTCTCGTCTCTGAGAAAGTCCTGGAAAGCGGTTGTGAGTGAGCGGTCGTCGGGAACACTGAGATACAGGGCGTGGAACTTCTCGTTGTCTATTTTGGTCTCATTTTCACACGACTTGCACTTCAGAAGTCCCGTCGTCTCCGAACCAAACACTTCCCAAATCGGGTTTCTCTCCCAACTCTCGAACTCTTCGGCGATGGTGTCGATCACGTGAGTGAAGAACTCTGCGGCGTCTTGTTGTGAACAACTCAGGAATGGATTCGACTTTTTGCCGACACATGACTTCAAATGAGACAAACAAGACGTCAACTCTTCAGCGCTCGTCTTCTCTTCTTTGTCTTCTTTTCTCAAACCATCGAATTGTCTGAAGAGATCCAATAGGCTTTGAGTCATCGGGAAGTCCGAGTGAGTCGTGAGTGCAGCGAAACTTGTGTCCAAATCGGAGATAAAGAAGTTGAGGGCAAAGACGCACTGAAGGACTGAATTCATATAACAAGTGTTTCCTAAGTTCTTGAGACCCATCGGACAGTTCACGTCAAACACTTCGAGTCCGTTCTCAATGACCAGACCGTCGCTCGCACTCGTCGTCCACCAGTCCTGAACAACAGGACTGTCATTGAGAAGAGGCGTTTTCATGGTCTCGTCATTACATCCCTTTGTGGGAGTCCTGAAGAGCTCATCGGGAATATTCTCGATGTTCTCATTGTCCTCATTCAGGGGTGTCTTAGGCTGGAAGTAATGAGTGATCTTCTGGTGGTTCTGTTGTGGACTTTGCAGTCGTGTTCTCTTGTCTGGAGTTCCCGCGTCTCCATTCACTTCATGCAAATGCTTCTTCATATCGACTCTCATCTTCTTGACCTCCAATTCGCGTCTTTCGAGACAAGTCTTGTCTCCATTCAGTCTATAGTTGTGTTCATCTCTTCGACTCTTCAACTCTTCTGTTCAGAAAAAGTCATAAAATCACAAATCATTGCAATTCTTAGACTTAACTACTCTTTGATAATCCGTTGGACAGACGACTCATTTCTTGCGGCGATATCTGAGAGCCGTTCGGAAACCCGGAGTAAATCTTTTCAGTGGATCCGACGCCTGGACTCGAGTTGTTGGCCAATGAAGACGTCTTGCAAAGCGGTGTCTTTGATGTCTTTGAATGGGCGGCCCTTCTGTCGGGGCTTTGGTTCTCATCGCCTGAAGAGCGCTCTTTTCGGGTGCGACTGCTGTGCGACGTCTTCTGCGGGCCGTAGAAGTGATTGACACCAATTGTCATCCTCTTTGACATCATTTCAACCATTTGTTCGCAAATCCATTCAAACAACACAAGAGTCTCGCTTTGGCGCCAATTCGCTCACAAATAACGTGACGACTGCC